CTTGATCAACCACAACCCATTGATGTGTTTCAGTTAAAATTTTCTTTTCTTCTTTATTTTCATCAGTATCATCAGATTTCCAGCTTTCAACTTCCACATTATCAAACTTACAATGTTGTAAGTTGAAGATTTATCAACTTCATCCTCTACTATTGAATCAACTATTATTTCTTTACCTTTGATCTTAGATGTGATATTAATGATTGACAATTGAGAACAATCAATCTCTTCTTCTTCTTCTATTTCACTGATTTCACTCACATTATCATAATTTTCATCAATATCAGCATAATTGAATTGTGAAGTAAGAGTTGAATTTTCGGTTTTCTTTAAGATTTTCACTTGTTCACTTTTTGTCAAACTTTCATTTACAATGTCAACCAACTCATCAGCATTCAGAAATTCATCAATTTTGACAATACCATATGAATATCTATCATCAGGTATTTTGTCAAACTGAGCAATTGTACTTTCGCAATCATAGGAAACAACATCAACTTTTTCACGTTCATACTCAAGAAAAGGTAAAAGTTTCCTATGTTGTTCTTTGCTAATATCAGAAGAATGATGTAAAGCTATTAATTTTGCATACAATCGTTTTGCTGAATTACAATATATGTTTCTTTGTGCTAGCAACAACCTAACATCATTAGAAAGATTATTCCTATCACAATTTATATTTTTGACTTGCATTTCCAATTTTTCAACTCTGCTCTTCTTTATTTCTAAATCTCTTCGTGTCTCACTAAGTTGCACATTTAATTTCTTAGCTTCATTACTAGCAGACACAATAACAGAATCAAAATAAGCCACAGTATCATCAACTGAAACAATCTCAGCATCATAAGCAGTTAATGGAATATTAAAAGATTCAAGAATTGCACGTACCTTGGTTGTCATGGGTGATTTTTCAGTGGATTTAGACACAAAACATCGCCCTGAAATGTTCTCTTCACAATCCTCAAAACTTGCGAACATTGCTCCATGTGTGGGATGCCTCATTTCTTCGTCATCAGATCCTGAAGACCAGATCTGATAAGTTCCACTTTCTTCTTCATCAGATTGTCCCTTAGCAACTAAAGACACTCCTTTGGTCTTTGCACGTAATTCTTCAATCTTTTCTGAATAGTAAGCTTCATCTTTAACTTTTTCTTTCTTTTCTTCTTTCTTTCGCAACATGCAATCAGCTGCGAAATGATTCGCACCATTGCAATAGTGACAGTAAATTCCTGAATCACCCTTCAACTTTTTCTCTTCATTCGCATTTTTCTGTTTTTCATCTATTTTCTCTATTTTCTTCCTCTCCTCTCCTCCAGTTCTTGTGACATCATTTTTCACATCACTATTCTTTCCTTTTGGATTAAAAGGCTTTTAGAAAAACTTTTTAACTTTGTTGTTTGAATAGTATGCTACAGCTTCATCATTGGAGTTCATCAAAAATCCTTCTACATCTGAACCATCTTTTTCATCAGTTTTTGATACCTTTGAAACAAGAGCCAAAGGACCACCAATAGCTTGTTTTGATTCTTCATACATTTCTGTGACCTCACATTCATGTGTTTTCAGTTGATTGTAAAGATCATTCAATGTAGTTGTATCAAAACTTTGTTGATTCTTAATCATCATGCTCACACTTCGCCATTCCTTGCGAAAACCCATAATGAAAGTTAAATTGAACTCCATGAGAGATCTAGTGATACCATACCTATTGCAGCGAAACATAAGCTCATTCAGACGATCATAACAATTTTCGAGAGTTTCTGTATCCTTTTGTCTGAATTCCTTCAGTTCTACTAGACATTGCTTCACAGAGTTGATCTTCGTCTTTTCACTACCTTGATACTTTTCTTTTAGAGTATTCCAGATCTCTTTTGCTGTTTTACAATTACGAATGTAATTGTAAACCAAAGGAGGTAGAGCACCTCTTAGTTCTCTCATGCATCTCTTTTCATTATTCTTCAGTCGATTTCGTTGTTCTTTAACATCAGTAGATACAGTGGATGATCCAGTTGGTTGAACATTAGCAGGAGCTTGTACTGTTTCATCGATACACTTCCAAAGTTCTTCATCAATTCCATTTAAGTAATCTTCCATTCTATCAGCCCACTGATCATAGTATTCTGGAATTAACATCGGAATTTTGGTTGAGGAACCAAGCAAGTGAGAGAAAGAAGTCATTGAATTCATGTTGAAGTTCGCCATTGATGAACACAGAAAATATCTGAAAACTTGAAAACTTGATGAATTTCAGAATTTTATCAAATGAATTGATCACAAATCACTAATCGATTACTCGACTTAACAATTCAAATGCAGAATCAATTCAAATCTGAAGATCAATAGTGATTTTCAAAATCAAAAATGCGTGGAAAATTTTGAGTAAATTTGTAACTCAAAAAGCAAATGATTCTTATACGAAAATCAGATCTAAGCAGTTTGAATCCTGCTCTGATACCAATTGATGAGAATTGTTATCGAGTATTTTGAAAAGAAAAGATAGATTTGAATGATTTAAGATGAAGAACACAATGAGTAAATATTAATCAGATCTCATATTGATTAAGACTGATTACAGAATAAGCAGAAGTGAGTTCTAGCATCCATCACTCTACTTCTAGCCTAAGTCCCTATTTAAGTCTATACATTTTCACTTCGCACAAAAAATGACTTAGTAAAATAATACTAAATGCGAAACAACACAAAACACTCTATTTGACTTTTTACAATATACATCAACATTGTCACTATGAATTGGTGCGAATGCTCGCAGTGATTCGCAGTCTACTTTGACACTGCAAATCGGTGTGAACGCTCGCAGTGATTCGTAGTCCACCGTTCATTCGTGGTTCGGATCTTCTTGTATCCTTTTGTATAATTTGTATATTATTGTTTGTCTTTGTTACATTTTTTTTAATTTCTCTCTTTATTTCTTTTTCAGAAAAACAAAAATACAAAAATATTATTCTTTGTTTTTCATTTTATTTCTTTTTGTTTCACAAAAATTATAAAATACCTAAAATAATAGATCATTGAGCAGCTCATTAAGGCACACATTCGTAGTCATTCTTAGTTCATAAGATGGGGCAATTATAAATTTCTTTACCTTTGTACTAGCTAAGTGTCTCTAGAAGTATGTTGCTTCATGTTGGATGAAGCCTTGACGACTCTATGTTGAAGCCTTAATGAATCGATTCTACCAATCGTTTCTTCCCAATCAGGCTGTTAAATTCACATAAGTCATGAGCTACCTTACTCTTCAAAACTGGAGTTAAGAGTTATCTTCTTGGTTATTTTCACATGGCAGAGGTACATTCGTTTTTCTTGAACCACCTTTGTCTTTCTCCATCAATTTCGCATCCATGCTCGCAACCCTTGTGACTCTCAAAAATTACCACTAAGGTTTATTGTTGCATGACATCTGTGTTAATGATCTTTGTTTCGTACAACCATGAGCTAAGTGAAACCCAAAATTCGACACATTTTTTATGAATTGATGGTGAACAATTAAAAGTTCTACATTTTTCACCAAGGAATTAACGAATGTCCACCTTTTTTGTATGTACCAAGAAATCTCTTTTTCTTTTGAGAGATCTTAACAAAATGCTCTAGACCACAGACATTACTACCCATAAGATGCAATTTTTTTTGAGATTTCTGAATTTCTCTTTTCACTAAGATAATTCCAAACCTACTCATTTAACCGACTACACTGGTCACATGAGTACTTCATCCGAACGCTTGTACTCAACTTTCGGTGTTTGGTTGAAGATAAAGCCACAATCTAATTTCATGGGGAACCACACAAACACTTCTAAGTCTCTCTTGACTTTGAAGGAAGAGATCTCTTGCCCGGGATCCACAGTTTCGTGTCTTAAAATAGACATCACTAAAATCCCATATATGCTTTTATTTATTTCTTTATTGTTGACACACTCTTGCATGAAGAACTTTGTGGTTTTAAGAAGTCTGGTTCGTGGCAATTTCATTTATTTTCAGATTCGCGGTTCAACTTAACTTTTAAAAGTGAATGCTCGTATCCATATGTAACAGGTGGAACACATATTAACTGCAAAAGAGTATAAGATGACACGACAATTTATCTGGATAGAAATTCAAATGGGCACTTGATTTTTTGAACAAACGTTTCCATCTCCACCGTATGACGCACGCTTCTGACGTAACAGTTGTCAAGTCGCGCTTTTGCAGGCGACTTCTTAGTTCCTAATGCAATCTCTCTCTAGATTTCTCTCACCAAACAAATGGTATAAAAGGGTTTTGGCACTTCATATCTCCTCACAACTCACATATTCTCTCAAAGATTTTCGGCGATCAAAGCATCTACTATTCATCTTCTTTCTCAAGTAATCAAAAATGATGGGTTCTTATGAATCTCCCTCTGTTCAAAATCAAACAGTGCAATCTTCACTACTTGCCATTAAGCAAAAATCAGAATCTAGTGATCAATCTCGATCCGTGCAAGTATGATAGTTATATGCTTCCTTTTGTTGAATGTCTTAAATACTCTCCGTTGACCATTTCACTCATCAAGATGGAAAACATTAAGATGTCAATTTTATCTAAAGCCTATTCTTCTGTAGGTTTTACCAAGGAAGAACAGAGGATTGTGTTAGAGATCCACAACTGCAAAACCTCTATCTCTAAATCTCGATTCTACTCTGTTCTATGGCTTCCTTAATCAGACGACATGATTAACCCTGAATTTGTGTCTAACTCTATTCTATTGCAGATATTTTACCAAATGGGGTATAAAGAAAGCCTAAATGCCATCTCCAAGTTTCGGAAATCAAATCTACCGCCCCAATGGAATGTCCTCTTCACTCAGTTGTTCAAAGGCTTTTCTGAAAGAGTGACTGGATCGGATTGTGCCAACAAGTTGTTCATGGCGATCATTTATGGCATTTACACATGTATTAATGTTGATTATGGGGTAGTTGTATCGGGTCAAGTTATTTAGAGCACCCACTCTACCACACGTCACAATGAAGTCTCATGCGGTGGTGGCATCTATTTCAATTTATCACACCACAGGGATCATTATTGTTGATACTTCTAAGTTCTCTTTTGTTGGATCATGTCCGGAGGCAATGTTTCGTGAGGTGCTTGAAGCTAGAAAAATCCTTGAAGCCTACAGGGAACTTTTTTCTTTAGGGTTTCGTCCCTTAACTCAAGAGATGAAATCCATTATTGCGGAAGCAGACAAGCCCAAGAAAGGGTGGGGGTCAAAAAGGTGGGAAGAAAGTAGGAAAGAAACAAGAGGGGCAAGAGGGTCCATCTACTCAAACTCAAGCTCTAAAGAAACGAAAAGGTCAGACTTGTTCACCTACACCAAAGAGGTGAAAGATCAAAAAGAGGGCTAGCAAGCCGAAGTCCCCAACTCCGACCGAAAGTGAACGTTCGAAGTCTGATACTCAATCAGATGTTCGCCTTGAGGAGGATGACCCTGTTCGCAATGAAGATGTTACATCGAACCCTGAGGTAACTCCAACTTACAATGATTTCTTTCGATCTCCTCCTCATTCACCCAAAACCACAACCACTACCACACCAATAACTGTTGCACCTTGTCCCCCACCAGTCTCTTCTCAAACACTGGGTAGTATTCTTTTATCTACACCATTATTTTCTGATTCCATTGCTCCACCAACACCATCTATAGAACCTCATGTTGCGGTCAAAGAATCTAATGCAACGAATAACACTTCAGGTTTTAAAACAACTCATATCTCTCTACCCATTTCCCTACTTCGCCAAGACGACCCGGATATGATTTATGGAGATGGTGAAGATGACTTCACAGGATTCACCTTTAGTCCATTCACTATCAGGAATGAGAGTGATGACGAAGCTCCTGTCATGAAGGGGCAACTCCAAGCCATCCATGAAAAACTTGATTCGTTACTTCATGCTTCCAAGCCTTTATCAACGGAATAATATTCTAAGACAACAATAAAGTCCCTCCTCGAGACACTCACCAAAGGAGATTCAGTAAATCTTGAAAGACGAACAACAAGGTAATGACGTAAAATTTTAACCAAAATTTTAAATTTCAAAAACATATTAGTTTTAATACATAACCATAAAATGCCACAATGTCAATCCACAAAACTCATGTTCAAAATACATAAAATACATAACCATACAATCAAGCTGACGCCTTCCACTGATCCTGAGAAGTACCCAATACACATAACATAGAACACGGTAAGCACAAAGCTTTGTGAGTTCCCCAAAATACCATACACAACTCATTATCCACTCTTGGAAATAACTCAATTGACCCTCCGGTCAATATTCCGGTCCCAACTCAGTAAACTCGTAGCAACAGTATTCGGCAACAATCATAAGACATAATGCAAAATATTACAATATACATATAAACACATAAAACAGCTCAATCACATAATGATACCACTCTTGGTAAGTATAGTAAGAAGACTCACCTCGTAAGTAAGCCAAGTGAATCAATACTCTCACACATGGATCACCAAGTCTAGCCTCCTCCTAATCACACAAGATAATTATATCTAATTACTATTTAAATTACACATTTTACTAAAATTACCTCTCTCTCTCTCTCTCTCTCTTGAAGTGGGAAAAGACCAATTTTCCCCTCCATGGTTTCCCAAAGACAAGGTTGACCAAACCCTAGGTCAACAAAAGTCAAACACGAGTCAACAGTCCATGTTGACCCTACTCATCGAGTGCACTTATGGGACACGATGAGCCTGCTCGCCATCCACAGACTCACTCAAAAGTCTGGCTCGAATAGCCGAGTTGGCCCGTCAACTCGCCGAGTTGCTTCTTGATCAAAACCATCAGGACAACCCCATCTGACTCGTCGAGTCGGCTCCTTGACTCGGCGAGTCCATTCAGACTCATATGTTATTCAGTCGTTTTCAGGGCATAGAGCCTTCCCAAACTCTAGAGCTATACTCCTAAGGCTCATTAATCATGTAAACTCACATGCTTTACGTTCATGCATGCATTTTGAGATTAAAATGACAAAACACACCCCAAGAAGGGTTTGTTTTCACTGAAGATCACTCTTATGGTTGGATAAAGCAGGGACTTTTGGACTCTAGGGACCTCACATGGTCACGATCTGAGGTTCAACCCTCACAATGAGCATGAAACACTCAAGGTCCTCATATTTGGGGTAGAAAAACCCTAGATTCACAAAATTAGGAGATCTATACAAGATAATGAGAAAGTTGCAAGCTTTATACCTTTCCCAGAAGCGTTGAAGTGAAACAACCTCAAATATAGTAGCACCCTCTTGTCCCTTGGCTTGGAAATTTTCTCTTCTCTTCTCTTCACAAGATGCACCAAACACTCACAATTAGCAAGCAATCTCTCTATAAGCTCACAGGTCATTTAGGGTTTTGTATTAAGGAAGGATAGACATAATTAAGGCTATAAGTGCCTTTAAATAGGCCCCAAACTCAGGCATTTAGGGTTTCTCATCCCATCGCTTACTCGACGAGTCGACTTCTCGGACTCATCGAGTATGTCATTAAACCCATGTGGTAGGACGCGACTCTACTTGACGAGTTGGGGCACCGACTCGTCGAGTAGCTTAAGAAATAAATAAATAAATAAATGACAAATAATACACCTGGATATCCGGATGTTACAATTCTCCTCCACTAGAATCAGACTTCTCCCCCGAAGTCATGATCCGGAAACAACTCTGGATATTGCTCTCGCATCTCGGACTCTGCCTCCCACGTCATCTCAGACCCTCTCCGATGTTTCCACTAGACCTGAACCAGGGGTACCCCCTTATTCCTCACAACCTTCACCTTTCAATCCATGATTGCAATCAGCCGCTCAATGTAATTCAGGCTAGCATCCACCTAAATGTCCACTAGTGCTACCACTGTCGTCTCATTGACTATACACTTCCTCAGATAAGACATGTGGAAGGTGTTATGAATCTGACTCAACTCCGTAGGTAGCTCCAAACAGTACACTACCCTACCCACCCCAGCGGTCACCCTGAAAGGATCGATGTATCGGGGCCCAAGCCTGTCCTGTTTCCTGAATCGGATCACCCCTTTCCAAGGGCATACCTTCAGGAGTACAAAATTTCCGACCTAGAACTCCAGCTCGGATCATCGTTGTGACAACCTGAAACTATTTCGTGACTGTAACCAGTTTCCGTTAATAAAACCAGTTTGTATTCAAAATTTTCTGTTAACATTTTGAATTATGGTAATTGAATTAAGACTTTTATTGTGACTTCATGAGTGACCAAATGAGTTAGAAACACGTGAAAACACCCTCAATATTCAATTGGAAGATTTTTAGTTACGACCACGTCGGGTTACAACAACTTAATCGGGTACGACCATAAACTCCGTTTAACGTCGGTATCGGGTAGATTTCCACCGGGCCTCAAACTCAAGCCCTATAAAAGGGTAAGTAGACTTCATTTGAATCTTTTTCACTCTCTCTTACTACTCTCTCTCTCTCTACAATCCAAACTTTGATCCAAAACCACCCCTTTCAAGCTCCAAATTGGTAAGTGATCTATCCTAGCTTATAGTTTAGCTTGTTTAACCTTTAAATCCGTGTTTAAATCATCAAAAAGTACCAAATATTTGTGTTTACGACCCAGAAACAACCCCAAACTGCAAACACCTATAAATGGGGTTTTGAAGCCCCAAAACCCTTCCAAATCACTTCTGGTGCTTAGCTATGACTTAGGGGCTTACATGTACGAGCTTAGAACACCAAAAAAATGTTATTTGGGGAGTAAACATGAGTTTATGGCCCAAAATCATGCTTGTACCGTAAACCCTCCTTCATAGGCCGTAATCACCATTTAAGGTGTTAAATTGCTCCTTAAACACCTCCTCTGGCTTGGAATAACATCTAGAACCAACCACCACTGCATTACGGATCTTAAACTTGAAGGAAACCATGTGCTTAGGAGATTATGGCCGTAAACCCCCCGAGAAATGGTTCCTTGGACGTAAACTCCTCTAAAGTGGTCAAATGGTGCCCTAAATTGCTTCAATGGATTGTACATTGGACTAGAATCATTTGTGCTTAACTTAGGACCATCAAAACACAAAAGGAAAGGGCAAGTAAGATTTTACGGCCATAAATTCTATATTTACAGCCATAAACTCCCCATAATGGTCCATTTGATGATTACATAACCCTTACTATGCCCTAGAACTGAACCAAGCCTAATTCCACAAGTGTTGTAAGACCTTTAAACATCCAAGAACACACCACCCATGAGTTTACAGTCGTAAACTCATGGGGATATGGTCTATGGGCCGTAATCTCCCCTAGGAGTTTACTCTTGAAGAGCAAACTCCATATCAAGGCCTTACACCTCCTTATATTGCAACCCGGATCACCCCTAACACTTGAGATAAAGTGTTTCTGCATCTCGGAGTGTATTATCTCAATTAATCAACAGCTCAAAGTCTAATTAGATACAATTGTGTATCTCTTCATATTACATAGGAACCTCACGCGTGTGCAAGCCCTAAACTGACACTTAGCAACCTAACCGGCACATTTCTCGAGTGGTGAGTTCATACCCTTACACCTTTTTCCATGTTTTTCAATATTTTTAAGGGGGGGGGGGGACACAAGCAAAAGTACAAGGAAATCTTGTACTCAAACTTATTATTTCGTATGAAATGTTTCATATTTCATATGCTGTTAACACCGAAAACCGTATTAACTGACATTTAAGTTGTAGAGTTAAATTTAAAATTAATTGTGAATCTCATTATACAATGTTATATTTTATATTTCACAAATGATTTTCCACATTATTACTATTAAAAGCATTAACCTTATAACTTTTCCCACATCCTTGGTAACACTACCCCTAGATACGAGAGTGAAGGACTAATAAACAGGATTTTTTAATGTGCTTGGTAACACTCCCCCTAGATACGAGGTTGAAGGACTACTAAACAGGATTTTCTAACGTCCTTGGTAACACTCCCCCTGGATATGGGAGTGAAGGACTAATCAACAGGATTTTTCTAAACATCCTTGGTAACACTGCCACTAGATACGAGAGTGAAGGACCAATTTTATTAATCTTAAGATTGGAGACACATCCTTGGTAACACTCCCCAGGATACGAGAGTGTAGGACTACCCCCATAACCAGAATCTCCTGGAGGGAGAACGTGAGTTGAATGTATAGATCTATACAGGATTCACTACATCGCACCTGGCTGCCAGCTACATTGTGACTGACTGGTCCACAGGTGACAAAAGTCATAAAACGATACTGGCCCAGTTACGAGCCTTATCTAGTTTATTGTGTGGTTATGGAACTCACAACTTAGATTATGAAAACTTTTATTACCTACTTATTAGTTTTATATAAGTGTTTAAACTAATGTACTTTTCAAGGATAACACGGCTTTCAGGATGCTTCACTTAACGCTTCAAATATGGTAGATACTTGTACTATTCATTCCGAATCGATAACCAACCACTTACTTTTAAGGAAAATAAGGGTTTTTCCTGGGATAACTTAAATGTTCTTAACCAAGCTGTGTAAAAAATGGATAACGAAACTTTTCTTAAAAGAAAATATGTTATTTTCTTGGATAACAAATTTTTCAGAAAACCAAAGGAAACTTGTTCTTTTACAGAAACAAACCGCTTATGAACTCACCAGCTTTATGCTGATATTTTTAAAACTGCTTGTATTCTCAGGTCAACATTAGACAGGTACCCCGTGTTCTTTGGATAAGACGGAGCATTTTAGTAGTCTCATCTTTACTTTTGTTATACCGATGTATATGTAAGACATGTATTACTTTACTTTCAAACAAATGTAAATATTCCTACGTAATGTAATGGTTGTGTTTACTATGCCTTGCTATGTACATTGGTTGTGATACTTTATATGACGTCCTCCACCCTGGAACGTTTCTGCCATCA